TCCTCTTTTCAAAAACTTCTTGGAACATGTGCTCTAATAATAAATACAATTCATATTAGGATATCAGTGCAAAATCTGTACCGGAGAGAAGAGAAGGCGTCCCTTCTGCTTACTACCCTCCTAAAGACAGCGACTTAAATCTCTCTCAGCTCCCCAGATTCCAGGAACTTTTCAATAAAACTTCCAAATTCATGTAAGACATCTCAGAGCCCAATTTATAAGTGGATCATTTTTCCCCTCCTTCATCCTCTCTCTCATTCAATACACACTTTAAAAACAACTATTAAAATCTTATTTAATGTACTCTTGGGGTACAAGAAAGGGTGTTGAAGAACAGTGGTAGACTCCCAGTCCAGTCACCTGGCAGTTGGGCTGAACAGACAGATGTTGCAGTCCCCTCCGTCATACCCAAAGTCTCTTTGTGTTGCTACAACCTTGGTTTTCAGATGCCCGATCATAAAGATACCTAACGCAAGCATCCAGAGAACAGTGAAAAATCTGTTAGCCTCAAACCTCCGTAGATCAGCTGCCCAGTAGGGGCGAATACTGCTCCCTTCTCCTTTTTAAACTCTTCTCCTAATTGCTGAATTTGTCCAATACAGAACACTGCCAAATAGAGCAAAAGGAGCAAGTTGACATGAAGGTGCCAGTTTAGTTTCTATGATAAATCACATGACTTTCTTGCACAAATACTTAAGACCATCAACATGAAGATAATGAAACAGCAAAGCTGCATTAGTACCGGTTATGCTTCACAGTTCACAAGATGCCAGGTGTGTAGATCTATACCAGTCTTTTCTTTTTATAAATGTACACTACTCTGATCTGAAAAAATTGCACACCAACTACAAAGAACATCTACCAAATGTCTCTAGTAAGAACAATTTAAACCAACAAATCATTATTTCTTTTTGATATGTAGAAAAACATTAAGTCACTGGAGAAAAGGACGCTCCAAACGTACTATTGAAGTGAAAATTACAGAGCAGTTGACACAGAATTCCCAACCACATACATGTGTGTACGACTACGGATAATAAAACAAGATCTCACGTGACCTTTCTGTCATAGACATAACGATCAGCCTATAATATCGCCAGTCTGTCCCCAGCTCTCCTGAACTCTTATTAAAAACACCCTCTCAAGACGCATTTCTCTCCCACCAGCAGGCAAACTTCTCTGTTGCCAAGAAAAGCAAGCCAGAGAGAACCATCTGAAATACCGCATTCGTCGTATTGTGTGTTCGGAAAAATCAAGTGATTGGCTTACACGCCTGTTATCGCCAGGTGCAGCCAGCAGGAGCAAATACAATCAGAGAAGGGGTACTTAACAAGCTGACAAAAGCTCCAAGCATAAAGGTAGCCAGCGTAACCGCACAGATCGAGCCGCGGGAAGTAACTGTAACAAGTCACTGGGGAATAGGCATTAGCAGGCTACTGGTATGCCTGGCCCGTGAACTGGGACACAGCGGCAGCTTCACCTCCTTGGCTGCCAGCAATAACCATGCTCTCGCTTCTACTCCACCATCCCCTGCAAAAAGCATGCAAGCATGCCATAAAAATACAATTTGCTTCACTTCTTAAGAAAAAAAAAATTGAAATAGAAGAGTACGCTTACTGCACTTGTCAAGACAGTACAGTGAGATGTTAACCTTTAAGAGCTTAATTTTCATTTTTTATTTTTTAAATCACCCCTCTTTCTTTTCTTTTTCAAAGTTCCTGAATGACTCATAGTTCCCTTTTTTTCCTCCATCCTATAACTTGAGCTCTGGCTACACTTTCAGCAATAATCTGTGATTCAACAGCTTATTTCAAGCCATTTTCCAATATTAATATTGGAAAAAATATTAATATTAATATTCGGAATTATTTTTTTTAAACAATAGAAAGTAGCTGAAGAACCCCAAACTAACACGGAAATGGCAGGTTGCTGGCCGTGTGGAGAGCTATTTTTCAAAAACTAACACCCGTTTCCTCCTCTTTTCTCCCTTTTTCCCTTCTCTCCATCCTAGCACTTCACCCTTCCCCACCTACATCCATACAGAAAGGAAGAAAAGCCCTTAAAAAAATTATACAGTATCCAGAAACACATTTTGGTTGGCAGTACCTTGATCTAGACTTCAATATATGTTATACAGGTCATGATTAAGTATTCTAGTGGAATGTAAAATAACTCGGTTTTAGCCCTTGAATGCTGTTTCCTTTTCTTAGAAAAGTGGTTGAAAAAAGTACTGGCTTTAAAAATCTTTAACCTTATTTTTGTGGATCCAAACCTCATTTAGACAAAAACTGGACAGAGACAATCAGAAGCATCCAAAAAAAAAAAAAAAAGAAAAATCTCTTCTCCTCACTTGCAGTTAGCTACTAGTTGAAATATGTTCCACAGCACCCAGAACGGTCTTTTTAAAACTAGGGAAGGTTCCCGAGTCTGCATTATCTTTGGTTCATATTTTTAAAGTAATCAGAAAAAGGTCTTGCAGATCATTATTCCAATTCCTTTTGAAGCTTTCTAATTAAAAAAAAATTACAATGTCATTTCATGAAAGCTTTTCAGTATAACGTAGGGATATATCTGATACTTGGAACATGACAACTAAATTCAACACAACATACTCTCATTTCAAAAATAGCTGCAATTATTTTGAAATAATTAAAACAAGCTAAACAAACATAATAAGGCCCACAAAACACGCAGCCCAAAAGCAATTTCTTTGACAAACTAACAACTGAAGTGAGGTATATGTAGCCTGGCTTGCCCTATGCTCAGAAGCAGTAAATGCCTGCCTAGTAATATTCACCTAAAAAGGTGTTCATCAGCTGGTCAGAAGAATTTGCAGAAACAGTAGCAGATATGAGTGGAAATGGGAAAGGGAAGGAGAATTATGCTACAAGAGGAGGGAGAAGAGTCCCAGCATAATAAGCTGGAGCCTAGAGCGGCCCTTGCACTCATTGCACAGCTCTAAAGTAGGTTACTTAGGGGATTTGGTTTACCAGTTCTTATTCAAGTTGTCTTACAAGGACTCTTATAATTACTTTAAAAGACAGATACTGCAAAGAACGTGGGGGAATCCCACCATATTACATCCACCTCTTTCCTTAGTCTTCCCCACCTCTTTCCTTAGTCTTCCAGGCTCAAGTTAACTTGCCCTTTCTCAGAAATATTTTTTCCACTATCAAATCTTTTTACAACAATCTGAACTGACAAACACGAAATCATAAAAAAAGTAAAAATTTCCATGAAATTTCTATAGGTTTAAAATATATTTTCTACTGATAAATACTTGCAAAACTAACTAATTCTGGATACTACTTAAGCTTACTGCTTAAGAAGATGTTGTATCAAAAGGACCTCGTGTTACATATGAAAATAATACGGGACATTTGGCCTATGTTTCCCGATTCTGATTCCTTAAAAGTTCTTAGAACGGTTAGAAACCATGGTAACTGGTTAAAAATTTTGATCTGATGGAATTCAGGAATGAAAACCTTAAATGGAAGTTATTCAAGTTATTTGATTGGTTTAGCACAGATCAATCCTTAAACTTCTAACTATTTTTTGAAATTGAGCTTGAAATTGAACAAATCAATACAAATATGTCATTCTACTCAGATGCCTCGATAAAAAGAACATACTAAGACAATGCTTAAAATCACAGCTTCAGTGCCTGTTGTGAGTTCACCTCCCAAAATGTCACCGTGCACGCTACTCAACCTCCTCTCCCTAATATCCAGAACTTGTATGAAAAACCGCATCATTCCAGCAGTTGCAACACATGATGAATTCAGATACTATACAACCATAAACCCTTCAAGAGATTTCCAGCACGAGATTATCAAGCTGTAGAGTATGACAGCTTCCAATATTCAGGTTTATCATGCTAGACAAAAAAGTTGGCGACACTCCAACTGCTTTAGGGCTTAGTGCTTAAAGGATCCAGAGATCGCTTCCCAAATGCCTTCAGATGTTACATGTTCTCCCACGCTGGGAATCCGAGCTTCCCTGACGCTCTCCTAACAACCCTGGGAAATTCCATTATAGCGACTCTGTGCTCTCCTCAGCAGAAGGAAAATGCAGCAGCGCATTCATGCTGCACTCCTTCAACAATCCATGCATTAATAACGATTTTAGATGAAACATCAGTTTTTCAGGATATAATTAGCCAGCACTGTAACTATTAATTTTGTACATTCCTGGCCCTTTTTCGTCATCAGGATAGACACAAAGAAATGCCCGCTCTTCATGTGTGACAATAAGACTCAATAGTACAAAGGTGACTAATAAAACTCTGTAATATGAAAAAAACAACCTTTATAAAGCCAACATATTTTTTTCTTTGAAAGTATTTCATAAATAAATCCCTCTAGCTCATAAATTTCTGAATTTAAATCTCTCATTTAGATTTTGAAAACTCATATTATTTACACTTGGAGAAAGATTATTTAATCACCGCTTCAAACTTGCAAAAAAAAAATAGCAATCACTAAGTGCTACATCAAAACAGTATATCAAAAAGTGCAACTTTATTCACAAACGAGCCTTCCTATTTGCACAGCACCAATGACCATTTGCAAGCCTCAACTTTTTCTATAGATGTTTTACTTCAGGAAAAAAAGTTAAGAAACGATAACAGTAGCAGCTTCACATTCATCAACTCTTATGTAAATAGCTCCTCAGATATTACTGAAGTCAGGAACTGTAAGTAAGAAAACAGATTTTAATTTCAATCTTCCAAAACTGTCACAACTTTTTGAAAGAAAATGACTATTTATTACTTGTACATATAAAAGTTTAGCTGATGACTGGCAGAAATAAAAGGATTTGTAGTCTATGCATCTAACCAAGAGGTATAATTAGAAAACTAGGCTCACTGTACCATCCATAGAAAGGAGAAGGAGCTTAGTCTCTGCTCCTAACTCCTGCCGGGTTCCACTCAAGATATAGAGAGCCCATATGTGTAACACAGGTATCCACGGTAGATTCAGGCAGCTCAGAAGCCTTACCTGAGTCTGCTTCATTGCCCGTTCCATTCTGCGAGTACTTCCTTTCTCAAGCTTTGTCCGAAGGAGCAAGGCAGAAGTCTGAATGGCCCAGAACTTTGGCTGAGAGAGTAAACACTGCAGAGAAAAACAACAGTTTAAATTATCTGCTATTTCATTTGAAAAAACACTGATGAAAGTGAAGGTTTCAAACAATGTCTCAAGCATAAACTCCATTTCCTATTCTGAAAGTCAAATGCATGGTAATAGTACGTATTCGATGAATTCAAAACTGTAGAGATTAATCTATTTTTAATTTAAAAGAAGGGCACTAAAACTACTTTTTCCTCCTCAACTACTGCAGCACTGTGTGTACATGTACCACGTGGTGCATACAGAAGAAAGGTGATAAACTAAACTGCACAAATTAAAGTGGCTACTCAGCATGAAAAGGAAAAAACAATTTGATACTGTGCTTTATTGCTTTGACATTTCACCTGAACATTACATATTTTCTTAGGGGTGGGGGGAGAGGAGGGGAAGATAAAATAATCTTAGACTAGAACTTGTGACTAGTAAATATCTATAAGGAAACAAGCTTGAGGAAAGCCTATATCTTCTTTCAATCTCTTTGAAAGGGAATGCATCTCTGTACAGAGCAATTCAAATAATAGTTCTTTAATACTAGTTTCCGCAAAATTGTGCTAACAAGTATTTCACACAATTTTTGGTAATTTGCACCTTTTATTTATGTCAAAAGACACACTCTCTGACTCCCAGTGTTCTGTTTGCTGAAAACAAACATATGTGGCTGATTTGACTGCAGTAAAGGTGTCCAAGAAGGGAAGTTCATGGGAGCGCTTTCAACAGTAAGGTTTTATAAATATCAGTGAAGGAAACCTGTATTAGAATCACAGAATCTTGTAGGTTGAAAGGGGCCTCTGGAGGTCAGCTAGTCCCACCTCCTGATCAAAGCAGGTCCAGTTAGATCAGGTCACTCAGGGCCTTGTTCCGGTTGAGTTCTGATTATCTCCACGGACGGAGATCCCACAGCCTCTCTGGGCCCCTGTTCCAGTGTTTGTATACCTTCACTGTGGACAATTTATTTTTTATTTTTCTCTATATTGAGTCAGAATTTCCTGTGCTCCAACTTTTGTCCATTGCCTCTCATCCTTCCACTGCGCACCTCAACTCTGGCTCCCTCTTCTCTATGCCTGCCTACTAGATGGCTGTAGGCAGCAGGAAGATCCCTGCCTTAGCCCTCCTCCTCTTAAGGCTCAACAAAACCACTTCTCTCAGCCTGCCCTTATTTGTTGGGTGCTCCAATCTCCTATATTAACAGTGCCTCCACATTAAAATAGGCTGAAATTGCCACGAATATCAAGACTATCAATTGAGTTGGATTTTGTCATGACTTGAGGATAGTAAGAAGACTGTTAGATCTAGACTGAACAATCTACAAGGAATAAGGAAAAATCAGTAAAAAACTTCCCTAAAAACATGGTAGTTACGTTATGACTTGGAACGTCCTGCTTAGATGCAAAAAACTTGATGTCAATCTTCAATTGTCGATTTTTAGGAAAGGCCAATTAAGAGATGTGTAGCCAGTATAACTTTGATACCCCTTAATAACGTATAGATAGCCTGGACTCTCTCCAGTGTGGTTTCAGACACAGTGTATCATATTTCTGCTACCTTTGAAGGAGAGACACTCGTAAAACTTCCTTGCTATTTTATTAACACTACAAATGTAATCCAGTCTCTCTGAAAAAAGAGATTAGTTTATAGGTTTTTGTAGAGTAGAGTAAAAAAAATGCTTCAGTGGTCTTATTCTTTCCTCTCAAAGATCCCCTACAGCATTAAAAAGTATGCTTTGCTGGTGTTTTGCGTGAAATGCCTGACAAATTTTTGTCCTATTGTAATCTGTTGTCTTATCAACAGCGTTTTTGCCAGAAAGGAAGCAGAAATAGACAAGCTACAACAGTATTTCTCCAAACAAAGCGACAAAGGGAAGTAAGAGAAGCGGCAGCAAATGAAGCATAAATGCAAGCAGTAGGAATGCATGTACAACCACCGAACACTTCAACAGCAGCTAATCCTCCCTATTGTGACCAACATTCTTGATATCTCTGCACAGATTCTTTGATAACTTCTACTCACTGTTGCACTATGAAGTTCCCAAACGGTTGCATACCATCCTGTCTCTACTGCGCAGCTGAAGGCATCAGAGGAATGCAATTACAATATTTTATATTCTATATACCTCCAAGTATCATTTTACAAATTAATTACCATCAGTAAATCTGTAACTGGTCTGAATTCTAGTTCTGAGAGCTCATCTCTCACCTATCTCACCGTGGGAAGTTCAGTCTGCTACCTAATTTTCTTTGGTTTTGAGACAAATACTCCACTGCAGGAGGCAAGCAGAGCATTCCTAAGAGAGGACTCATGTTTCTGAATTTATTCTTCAGTGGCTCATTTGGGTTGGCTGCTAAAAAAATCTTAAGGGATTGTTTGGCCAAACATTTGACTGATGTTGATTGAAAAGGTAACTTCTTTTGTGACAAAGGCTACTTAGCTTCCCCCCATTTTCTATATTATTGATATTCTGTCATATTACTTTATTTTTTACTGAAAAAGATTTTTTTTTTCTGCTACGTGGTGGTAAATACTAATATTTGTTTTTCAAATGAACACAACATCTGTCAAGAGACTAATAAAAGCTGAAGTGCTTGATTAATCAATGGTCCTAGAGGGGTTTATTTTCAGGTCCAATTACAGCCCTTACCCAGCAGCAGAGTACTTTTCCCATCACTCTGGTTTGGTTCAATGACTGGCACAAGAGGGGCATAGAGCAAAGGTTTTGTGTCAGCTTCCTCCAGCTTTGCCAGAGGCGAGAGAACGAGCAGCTCAGGAAAGCCCCTCTTCTACCTCTCTCGCTTTCTCTCTACACCTCCTATACCAACGTCTAGCCAGTTATTTAAGCAGTCATGCTAGATATCACGCACATATAATGCCATAACAGGAGGGAGAAGAAGCAAAGAGAAACAGGGTGGAAAAGAGGCAGAGGAGCGAAATGTGAGCTATACAGAGCAATTACAATCATATCTTTTAATAACAATCTGGCTTTTTAAAGGTATTCATAAGAAAAAGTAAGATATACCTGCTGCACAATTATGAAATAACAACAAAAATTCTCTAACAGTTCTATTGCTATAAATAAGCACTGCAACTGCATAGAACAGTGAAAAGAGGTATTTTTTTCAGTTAAGAAACACTTGTAATTATATGTGTACTGAGCTCAGTCTTATGTCCGATCTCAAATGCTCACATTTTCATTGCTTAATCATAAAGTTTAAAGCAGAAAATATATAAAATAGGTGTATATAAAGGGCACAAATATTTATGCTCCTGGGCTTTGAAGAATAATTGCAGAACATGTATCAGTAACTATAAAGCATGCTCAAATTTTCCACCCAGAACATCTACATATTCCAGATAACAAATATTTTATCAGCCCCAAAGCCTTATAGTTCCACCTGAAGCTAAATGTAGACTTTATTAATAACACCACAGTTTAAAAGATGACATCTGGAAACAATAAAAACTAAATCAAGATTATGCAAGTTTTGTCAACACATCTGAAAATGTACCGCACTGTATTAAAGGCAGCTAAGAAAATCGATGAAATAATTTAGAACAAAAATATGGTACTGAGAATCTTCACAACTCAACTTTGTTCTTATTTTAGAAAAAAGCAATAACATAAGGAAAAGAAAAACAGGAAAACGAGATGAGGTGAGAAGAAAGGGAAGAAAAACTTATGCAACGTTTTCTGCACAGAATGGAATGTTTTCACATGAGAAAACTCATTACTCCAATTCTTCTCCACATTTTTTCCTACAAACAAAAACTCTTTATATCCTCCTCTCCCATCATTTCATAGTGAAAAAAGGAGATGTTACTAAAATATTATATAAAACAGAATACTTCATTCAATATATCCTCCTTGGATGATATTGGAATGAAACAATATGAACCTCAAAGTCTTTGCAACAAAACAGTAAGTAGCTGGTTATTATATAATAGTTATATAATATCCCCCTTATCATCTTAGAATAAAACAGCAAGTAATACCAAATTGTGAGAAGTGTGCACATTACAAATGAGATCCAGTGTGCACATTACAAATGAGATCCCACCCAAATCTACACATAGGACCTCTGCCAGACCCAGGCTGACTCTCAGGTACCGTTATTCAGTCTTGTCATTATTCAGAATTTAACCTATGCATGAAAACATTCCCTGATAACTCCTACTCATCTGTTAGAGAAAGAGATAAAAGAGAGACATGGGAAAGAAAGGTTGCACAAATTGCAACTTCCTTACAAAATTTAAAACAAGCTAATAAGAATCTTAAAGGAAGCCTAAGCCAACTGCTATTTCATATCTATGACTATATACAAATTATGCGTGCGTGTGTGTGTGTGTGTGTGCGCGCGCGTGCGTGCATGTATATAACATTTGGGTTTAAGGAAACTAAAAAGAGGGAAAGCAGCCTGGAGCTTAAAACCAGGAAAATAATATATGAAAGGTAGAAGAGAAAAGTTAACCAAAGAAACTTGTGAAGGAGGGGACACAGAGGGGTGTTAGCCCCCCACAATACTATATGACATACAGTCGACAAACTACAAGAAAGTAAGTCTTCTAAAGGGCAGATCTTCTACAGGGCAGATGAATGAAGCTGTCCTAGTCAATCACGACTTAAAGAAAGCATAGGTTGTTCAGAGCAATTGTTCTGCATGATTCCAGTTGCTATTTTAAAAAGTAGGAGGTCCTATAGGAATTCTCTGGGGAATCCAAGCCAGGAATAGAGTACAGGGAACTAATTAGATTTGCTAGACAAGAAACTGGAAGAGCTAAAGATGATCCTTTTTAATTACGATTCTAAATAATTTGAGTGTTTTCTGATTTTTTTTTCTTATCACAAATCTATGCTGTATGTAAGCCCATTCTTTTATCCTTGTAGCTTGTGCAGTGTTAAAACTATCAGTAGCCCAGTCACCTACTCTGATTGCTATGACAGAGCTTTTGTTTGAGCCTAGACTTTTGAACTTTAAGCACCTTTAACTGCAACA